CTTTCCTGTTTTTGTCACCCATTTCTCCACTTTCTTTACACTCTGCCAGTACCATGCCATGAACTGAATTGTCCCCTATTCCTATGGATGCTTTGATCTTAAAAAACAGGCAGCCAGCCAAATAAACAAAACTGTGAGCTGTCTTTTTTCTAGGCATCCATCATCACATCTGAATTGACATAAAACAACTGTATAATTGAGTGATCATTACCATTTATACATAACTAGTCCATTGTTGCATTTAATCTGATTACACAGGATTTTCTGTTCATAGTAAATTGAAGAATAATATATCACATCTGAAACCTTATAATTTTGTCTTTATTTTGTTAAAAAATGTGTGTGGACAGTCCCTCTTTTTCACTATATTTGGATGGAATAGAAACATATCTATTTCACCATCTCCTTGGTACCATATGGCAATTGGTACCTCTGTCACAATGTAGTGTACACAGTTTGGATGAAACTTTCTTCAAGGTTCTTTAGGATGCTTCCAGAACGAACAGTTCATAACATCACCAAAAGATCCTGTGCAACTCCTGTCTTTCCTTCCACAGTAAATTATATATATATGGAAGCTTCCAATATATATGGAAGCAGTGCTAGAAAAATACAGAAGAGTTAGAAATGGAAGACACCAACATCTGAATCACCATAAAGCTCCAAGAATAAATCCGGGCAATTGCCCAATAAAAGCTTTGCCTGGAAGCATCCATAGAACATATACAATAATGGATATATCAAATTTACAAATGTGTTTGTACACAGTCACTGTCGAATTACTGGTGCTGTCAAGTGTGTGCTATTTCACACATAAATAGGTAGCTGTCTAGAAAATAACAACTCCTGTTCTGTTGGGTAGAAGATGAGTATGTAGTACAATGGACATAATCCAACACATAATAAAAGTTCTGCTCTTAAGTGATTTGATTTTAGTGGCTTGAATCCAGACACCCTCATAATTACTGTAGGTACATTCAAACAATTGGCACAAGGGAGTTAGGACTAATTGCAGTTTAATTAATTTTATTGGATCTACAGTAAGTATGGCTAATTCAGGATCCATACTTGTGTTTAAGTATGCTGAACTTGGCATTCAGCTTTGGCCAGCATGTAGGAACCTACTCTTCATTCTCTAGCAAGTTATGCCTTTAAATATAATCATTAGCATATCAAATTTGTCTGTCCTATTGAACAGCAAATGTTCAGATAGCAAATGTTTTATCGGGTTTTTTCTTACTCCAATTTCATAGCTTTCAGTCACTTTTAATTGTTGACTAACAAAATGTTCATAAAAGCTGACCAGAAATTTATGAACATGGATGTGCTACACTGGCTCTTCTTCAGTATATGGGTAGGTAATATAAAAGAAATGTATATTTGTGATCAGTTTGCAGATACAGAATAAGAGCTACTATCAAAATGAAAACCCTGTTCCTGGATTAAGGGTGTGATCCTATGCACATTTGGACTGGAAAGAAAACCTACGAATCCCAGCATGCCCTTCCAGCCACAAGATTGCACCCGATCTAGTATTTTTATGTAGAATCCAATCCTGAGTCTACGGGCATTAAGGAGAAAGCAGGAAACAAAAGTACAAGGAAGAAAGATGGTAAGTAATAATTAGATGTGGACAAATCTGTTTCATTTTCTTTAATGTTTTCATTTTCCAATGCACCAATTTGCTCCATTGTTCTATTTTTTCATTCATTCGCAAGTGCTTTTTTCAAGCAGTCCCTTTGAAAATTCATACTAACTTTTAGAATAAGCAGTTTTCCATAATATGTGCCAATTTATATGCTACTTTCCCTAATAGCACATTTTGATAGCTTTTTTTGTATCAGAGAACTGCATTGCAAAATTCAAAGATGTGAGAAAACTAAAGAATAATTGCATTCTTGTTCAAGTATTTGTTCAAGAAATGAAAATTCTGTTGGCTTATAATTAAATGTGATTCAAACTCATTTCTTCTGCTTCTGAAGCAATAATACCAGAGAAGGAATAATAGATACAGTAGGCAAGAATCAGGAATGTTTTTTGTACAGAACAAAACAAATGAGGCATTTTTGTAGGGATTATGAGGAGTATAAACCCAGGCAGCAGACACACTTAGATTCAAGTTATAGGATGTACCTGAACATGCTTTACTGTGGTCTTACTTGGTGCAATCCCCACTTAGATCCAGACTAAAATGCACTAAGATAGAAGGATTAAACCTTGCCTCCTACCTGTTGTCCCTCTGGAGTGAATGGAGGGTTTTCTTTCTTTTAGTCATCATGTGTGTATATTTCCAGTGCAGGTCACTAGAATTCATTGCTCTCAATTTTGTTTGGAACAGGTCAAAATGTGATCTGTGAAGCCAATTTCTTCACTTTCTCTTTCCCATGGATGGACAGATAGCAATAAGCCGTGGTAAACATCCATGTGGGCTATAAATGTTTAAAGGCTGTGTAAGACAACACAAGAACAATTTGCACAATCACTGACTTTTAGCTTTTCACTTCCACTGCCTGCTTATTTTCCTCAGCCCATTACAGTTTCTTTATATTCAGCCCCAAAAAAAGAGGTCATGTGAGAGTTCTATCTCTGGATCACCGTATGTTTTTCGTCAGACTACTAGAAATGTTCCAAAACATCAAAAAAAAAATGAAAAATGAAAATTACACCATACTTGTTTGGGTTTTTTAAAAAGAGCAAAGCCAATTGTGGACTTTGCCACTGACCCTCACGACCCATCCCTATGATTATTTCCAAGACATGATGCTACAGGAAAATCAGCACTTGGATGTCCACAATGTTTGAAACATCAATACTTTATGAGTAACAAATGTGCTGTTACCTCTATTCAGTGTTCATTTAAACCAGACCTTGCCTGCAAAAGCATCATTACTGCATTCCTGGGATATGTGACCCAAGGAAACACCATGTGCTCATAAATGTGCTATGTTCCACCAAGCTTGAGCTGCTGCGTTTGCTAGACAACTGAGTCAGTTCCAAATCATCTAGAGTTCAACCAGTGGATATACCATCTGACCACTCCTGTCCTGAGCTAGCTAGACCGATGGTCAGACTTGGATAGGGCAATTTCTTATGTACCTTCTGAAAGAGCAACGGCTGCAGCTGCCTTATACTAAGTCAGGCTAGTGATCCATCTAATTCAATACTGCCTACTTGGTAGAGAATGCTCTGTGCCTTCTCAGACTAGAGTATTTCCCACCTCTGCTTGGAGATGCCCAAGACTGAAGCTGGGACATTGTACCTAAACACATACACCCCATCCTCCGAACTATGGCTCTTCACAAATGGGAATCTGCATGCCTGTGTCACACTATGTGGTTTGAGGTAAAACTACTGCAGAAATATAAATTCAAAGATAATAGAAGAAATTAGAAAGACCACTGTACCAAAAGAATTTGACACATGTGCTAACCCCCAAAGAAAAGAAAATGGAGCAAGTCTTGCTCTTTGCATTCCAGGTTTTCCTGGAGGTTTTTCTACTCATACAGAAAAGAAAATGTGGGAAATGTCTTTGGCTCAGCAGTTCTGGAGGCTATTTTCCTCCCGTTCTATGGTTCAGATATATCCTAAATTATTCACCAGCACCAGTGTGATCAATTACTCCTGTGTACCATGTAGTGAATGAAACTCTTTTGGGATATGGAAATATTCTCATCATACTACACTCTAGCCTTTCAGACCTGCAAGAGCAAGTGTGTGTGTATGTTGCATTCAGTGCCAAATCACTGTGGAACGTTCTTGAAGCACATACCTGTAGTCCACCAGCTAACTGTTAGTAAAAGAATATGTCATTTTGGTTAAACTGAGCTCCCTTGAAGTGGACGTGGTCCCCAATCCATGGGAGCTTTTCTCACACATAGCAAGTGTGCATAGCAAGGATGATCCATCAACCTTCTGCCTGGTATGGATGGAGCTGGGGGACCTTCTCCAGGGGCACAATTCAGGTTCAGAAAAGCTTCACTGACAGGCAGGGCCAGAGATATACTGAGGCAGAGCTAAAGGCCAAAGAGTTATGGCAACAAATATCGTAAGTACCAGCACATTTGAGCTTAAATATAAATTAAACTGAGAGATGGTGTCGGTGGCTGGAGAACTTGGCTGGGGACCTGGGAAATCTGCATTCTAGCGGCATTTGGCCATGAAGCTCACTGAGTAATTTTGAAGCAGACACTCTCACCCAATCTACCTCACAGGGTTGTTGTTCTGAAGATAAAATGGAGCCCTATACACTGCTTTTGCTTCCTCACAAGAAGAAAAATGTGGGGTATAAATGCAATGTGGTGATGATAAGAGCTTTAGGAGAGGCATTTCAACCTTTTAACATGTGGAAAAAACTACACAAAATCCAGGAAACCATCAGAGGATCATTGCTTTCCAAGGGTGCCTTTGGAAAAAAAACAGGAGGCCCAAAAGGGAAGGGAGTAGCCTATATGCAGGGTGTGTTGTTGTGTCATGCAAGTTGGCCCACTGTGTCCTTGGCAGAATAGAGTCAGGGATATAGACAAAAAGGGTTTCCCTCACACTAAAGGAGTTTCCCTCTCCCATGTACTCATGCCCTAGAAAGGGTTACTCCTTGAACACACAAAAGTAAATTTCATACAGCTATAGAGACAAGTATAGAGACACTCATCTTGTTGTTATAGGCTAATATCATCATCAGTTCTTTTAATATTTTGTTTGACATGTTAGAAGTGTGACTACAAAAGGGAAGTAGTTTATCATAAAAGGAACTGTAGAAAGTGATAAATTCATTTATAGTATAAATGCTCAGAAAAATTTAGAAAGTCACAAACAGAGAATACTGAATGTTCAATGGACAATCCGAAACTGCATTTGTTCTATTCTGGCAGACATGGCTCTGAGCTCATTATTTTTCCATGGCTGTTACAATGTGCTAACAGATTTTATAAGTATCTGTTTCAAAGATAGCATGAGGTAACTGCCTGCACTTAGAACCCCGTTAATTTAGTTTACATTGATACCTGTCTTTCAGTAAGATCCAGGTTTACTGCTATCTCATATCTCCGGAGTCTGGTGAGGTAGTTGTGGTGGGCAAACTCTGCTTCTAACTCTCTGATTTGTTCTTTGGTGAAAGCTGTTCTTTCTTTTCTTGGTTTACTGTTGACTTCAGATTTGTAATTTCCCTCTTGAGAATCTGAAAGAAAAACAAGATCACATCAGGGGTTATGGCAAACCTAGGCTTTATTGGAAAGCGAATGTTACAGAGGAAAATAGTATTAATAGTAATAAGTCTCAAACATACATTTTCTGTATTGTAAAATTATTGATACAGATGGGAATGCTTATACAAAGGGTACAGTATCGCAGCTACGGCTGATAACTGTATACTATTGGAGTAACTGGTAAAACTGCTGCTCATTTTAATAAATCAGGAATACTTTGTTGAAGTTAATGACCTCATGTGGCGATCCATCTCTGTAGCAGTAGGCTGCTGGTCTTATGAGTATCTATGTTCACCATATCATGAGTGTTAGAGCTTCCATATACATACACAGTATTGTTTCCAAAAACCAGAGAGCAGTTATTCTTCTGTATTTCAATATGTTGCCCCCTATGGTGTTAAGTGGATGATTTAATATCCTGATTAACACATGACTGGGTCTGTGAGGAACTGAAGTAATACAATCTGTGTCATGTCCTTCTGTACTGTAATTTGCATAGATATTGCGGAGAGAGGCTATTAGCTTTCTTCTAAGAATGATGAATTCTCCTAGGACCATCTTCCAAAGAACTGGTATTCTTCTGCTCAAAGCATTATTCAATTCTATAATACTGAGAATTTTAAAAAGAAAAATAATTAGAATTAGTAAAAATAATGTTATCCTTTTATACATTTTTATCTATTTGTTCTTAGAATTCTTTGCACTAAATTATTTTTGATCTTTGACATTAACAAATCATTATCTTGTCTTCACCAAGTTGTGCAACACATGGTCAGTCTGGTCAACCTTAGCCAGGGAGGATAAGCCTATTAACGACCACTAGTAATGACAGCCAGATATTAACTCCAGTAAAATATGTAATCAGGAACATGACAGGAAGGATGCTGCCGAGTTCATGCTCTGCTTTTATGCTTCTTGTAGGCATCAGGTGGACAGAATACTGGACTTACTAGGTCTTAAATATGATCCAACATAGATCTTATTTTCATATGTTCACCAATCACCAGTATGACATAGTGCATTACATGACCACTCCCAGCTTGGAAAAGGAGAGAGCTGAATCCAGATTTCCTTGGAATGCAGTAAATATTAGCTGAAACCAGACTTAGCCAAGTTTGGAAAATTAAATTAGTCAAGGTTAGACAAGCTTGGAGAATCCTATTAGAGCTTGGAGAATCCTATTAAGTTTAATCAAGCTTGGAGAATCCCATTAAAATCAGTAGGACTCAAGATATTCATGATTTACTTGTTCCATTGAATTAAGTGGGTCTACTCTAAACATAATTAAGTCTGGATTCAACACCATAAATTTGGTTGAACATTGCATGTGATATTAGGAACTCCAGGTATGGCTTTCACTGCTGGAGGCTCAGACTGGACTTGGGAACCATATGGAAAATTACATTTATTTATTTATTTTACAAATGTATTTCAAACAACCATCATACAGCCACCATTCATTAATGCTGACAGCTTCAGAAATAAATGGCATTTACTTATTTATTACTATATGCATATATGCTATTAGCATTATGCTTTTTTATGTAACTGTTACTTGGGATCAATCTATAAAGGTCTTTTTAAAGCTTAAACCATTTTTAATTATTTTTCTGAGCATTCTTCAAAATACTCTTTCTAAACATTCAAAATTATAGTCTCTCAGTGCTTCAATGCAGTTAGTCTGTACTCTAAAATAATGAATTGATTACATAAGACTGGACCTTTCTAGGATCCATTTCCCAGAACAACGTTTAAAATCTAGCTTATTGCTTTCTAATTATTAGTTGATTCCTGTTTCCATTTAAACACTTCCATGTTAGAAAAACTTGTAGCCTGTGACAGGGGACGGACATAATGGGAGTTCTATCTATGTAGGAAAATTACCATGTGCAAAGTGGCCCTAATCAAACTATGACCCGTGTATCAGATTTCCCTGCCCACCCAATTTTTTTAGCCATTTGTTTCTAATCTTGGTATGTCGTATGCTGTAATTCCAAAATTAGCTAACGTTCAGCATGAGAATCACTAGTCAACTTTTGGCTTCATCAACCATCTTAAAAATGTCACAGATAAATTCACACTTCAGCTGCTGATTTAAATAGAAACCTGCATCAACTTCCAAGCAGACAAGCCCATAAGCAGTCTCATTATGACTTTCTCTGAAGGATGAGTCACTTGCATGCCTGAGATTGCCTTGCTGGCCACAGAGCCCAATAACGACAGCTAGAACTTTGAAGAGACAATGAGAATGATTTGAATCCAAGTTTACCAGCTGCTTTGGGGAAAGTCAAAAAGTTTTCCTTTTCATTTTAACACGAACTACCAAGTTCTTTCAGTCATCATTGCTACTAGTGCTAAAATAACTGGAAATGGCTTTGATGGAAAGCTTGTGTCGTAACACATAATTTTTAGAAAGGTATACATTGGCAAGGGGCATAGAAATAAATTTTGCAAACCTAAAAGACAATATGCTTAAACTGTAGCCTGAAGAATCAAAGCAAGAAGAAAATCTAAAGGAAAAATCCTCAGCCATATGTCACACATGAATAAAAAGCTTGCCATACTTTCAGAATATCTGGCCATAGCTTGTCACAGCTGCCCAGGAAAGAAGTGTAGCTCACCCTGCTAGGATGGTTCCTTATATGAATTTGGTGTAAAGATCTGCTGATCCTCTCCCATCCTGCAACAACTACCATGGCATTCTGTGTGAAACAAGAAAGACAGAGCCAGAGAGTGCCATCCTGTTTGCCTCTGAACAAGCTCCAGAACAAAGCTGTGCCTGCTTTGTAACAGTGGGCAGACAGCCCTGTAGGCCTGAGGTTCCTTGCAAGAGGAAACAAGTCAGGGCTTAAATGCAATAATAAAACTAAAAATCAGCTCTGAGCTAATTAGCACGACACAACTGTGTATGATGGGTTGCCACCCTTGTTTGTTTCAGGATGGCTTATTGTGGTGTCTGAAGTCAGTGCTGTTTCCTTAGCATGCTAAGTTAACCACACAGAAGCCATGCTGAGAACCTAGACATGTTGTTGGGTACTTCATGGTGGCTTGCTTTCAAAGTGGCCTCTTGAAATGTGTGACCCTGGCAGAGTGGCTAATGGATGGCATGTCAGGAAGAACGACAGACCCTGCTGGCAGGAATGGCAAGAACCTCAGCTGATCCTCACAATCTGCCCAAATCTCCCTCAAGGGGTACAAAAATATTTGATATGTGCAGATCTCCATGAAACTGAAAATAAAAATCAACAAAAAAACCTCTACTATGCCAATGAACACATTTGTACCCATTAGAGCACCAAACTAAGCTGCTGACATTGTGATGCAAAGGTCCATGGGATTCCTGTCTGAAGCCTGTGTGAAGATGCATGGGAAAGTAAGACATTGCAGAGTCCGTGTTCATCTGTCCAGACTAACCAGTGGAACAACGGTGCCATTTGAGGTCCATAAACTCTTAATGAACTATCCATGGTACAAAAGCTCAATCCCAAAAGAGGTTCAGCACCATGGATAGCTCACTTAATGCTTCAGCTGAAGCCCAGATAAGGTCTTCTAGTCCACTGACACTGAAGCCAACAGCCAATGCTGGAAACAACCTGTGTTAGTGATTGGCGACCAACCCATCATGGCTTTTCAGTGTCATTTATTGAGATGTACAGACCAACATACCGACTCATTTGGTTACCCTCTGTAAAAAATGGTATTGTAGAACTGGAAAAACATGTAGAAAAGGGCATTCAGCATCATCAAGGGACTGGAGCACCTTTCCTACAAAGAGCAGACTATAACCTTAAGAGCATTTTGGTTTAGAGAAAGAAGATAAATAAGAAAGTAAGGTTTTTATAAACCAAGGTTTATAAAATTAGGCATGGGACAAAGGAAAGCATAGCCCTCCAGGTGTTAAACGGAAGCTCTCATGTTCCTTCACCACTGGCTATGCTGACTATGGCTCATGGGAACTGCTGTCCAACCACTTCTGGATGGCCACATGTTTCCTGGGGTAGAGAAAGAAGTTGGAATTTTTGTTCTATTCCGTATAATTATAAAATTCACGGTCAACTAATGAAACTGATTTAACAAGTATTTGGGACACCCAAACGGAATGCTGCTTACCCAGTATACAATTCATGTATGAAATTTGCAGTCATAAGATGTGGCATCAGAGGCTCAGAGTGCCTTGTGTCAGTTTGGGCTGATATTCCAACTAAGAGCGGAGTCTTTAGAGTGAGTCTTATGGTACATAGTCACACCCTGCTAACTTTCCATTTGGATTATTTCAATGTATGCAATGGGACGACCTTTAAAAATAGTCTGGAAATTTCAGAAAAATCCAAAGGAAAAGAACTAGATTGTCATCCCACAATGTATTGATTTCTGGACCACATTCAAATTTCTGGTTTTAATCTTTAACATCCTAAAGATTACTTGAAAGATCTCCTCCCATGTTACCTACCTAGGCATTAAGATCACAATTTGTGATCCTCCTTCAGGTGTCCCTGAAGGGGGATGGTGACAAGATTATCAGTGATGTCACCTCATTTGTGGAACACCCACTACAGAGAGGCTCAGCTGTTATGGAATTTCCAGTTCCAGGGGAAGATTTATTTTTAAAAACATTAAGAGCAGTTTTAGTACTCTTATTATGATGTTGATTTAAATTTGGTTTTATAGTGTTGCAATGATTTTATTCTTTTCTGCAGATTTTATCTTGGCCTCATGCTCTGTTTTTACTTTTAATGTTTGCATCACCGGTTTTAAATGTATTGTATACCATGCAGAAAGGTTTGACAATTGGGTAATTGAAAAGAAGAGTAAATAAATAACTATATAGCTTTAATGACTTTGAAAGGTGATCAGACAAATTTCTGGAGGATAAATCATTATCAAATTGTTATTACCCATGATTGTTATATGGAACCTCCACATTCAGAGACCAGTAAGACACGTTGCTGCAGGAATTGACCAGAAGCATTCT